TAACATGAAACAAAGTTATTCTTTCATTCATATTGTTCTGCAATAATGTGATTTCACAATTGTATTTTAAAGCAGCCAACCGAATTGTGTTTATTATTACAACTTAAAGGGGAGTACGTGGAATGTACGTGAAAACTGGGTCAAAATGATTTAATACAATATTTTTCCTTTTTAAATAAAAAGGAAATATTTATATTTCAAAAAGTAAATATTGTTTTCAAAAATATTTATCTAATACTTTTATGCTAAACCACTTAAAGCATCACAAGATTTCTGTTTAGTCTGAAAAAAACGTAAGCAGTCAAAAGAATGTGGCCTTCATCTCAAAATAGTTGCATTCATTTGCAGTAGTTCTTGTAGAGAGCTAATAGTACTGCAATCCACTTAGAGCCTAACTCACTCACTAGTGTCTGGATTCAGCAAGGTTCCTACTGAAGTCGATGGAACTACTCTTATGCTTAAATAGGGCACATGTCTAAGTACCTTGCTAAGTTGAGGCTTGTAGCCCAAAAGTTTCCCCATGGTTTTGGGTCAGTCCTTCTCTCTGGTGGGGAAAAAAAAAATCCTTTTCTGGTGGCTTTAACATCCCCCCAAGCCTTGCATTTTTCCCAGGATGTTTTTCTACTATACTCTTTGCAAGAATCCAGTCTCCTGGCAGTTTATGGTTGGTCATGGCAGCTGTCCAGAGAGATCATCCAACACACATCAGCTGCTGTGGCAGAAATTTGTCACAAACATTTGTATTTAAACAGGCTTTAAAATAAAGCAAATTACAGTTGAAGCTTTCCTGTCAGAATCAGTGTCTGCATATTGAATTAACCTGCAATCAGTTTTTAGTGGCTCGCCATCCCACCCACCCAAACGTAACAGGTTCCTTTTTACCACTGTTGCACCCACTGTGTACAGACCCAGCCTAAAGATTTTGGGACTGTTAGTGATATAATTCTTTGAAATGCACCCCAAACTCAGTGGACTCATTTTATAATAAATGTGCATGGCTCATGAAGGATCTTTTGGCCCTTCTCTACTCTTGCTGAAGTAAAGTAGTTCAGCTGCTTGTTCCTCTGATTGTCTACTAATCAGTTTGCATTGGCTCATGGCTTGGAAGGTTTTCTTAACAAGGAAAATATTAAAAAAAAAAAAAAATGAAAGCAGAGATTTCTCTTTAAATTTCTAGTTCTCCCAAGTTGCTGTGGATTTTCCAGTGCTAAGTGTTTGCTCATTATAGAGTGAGTGGGCATGAAAAATGATTGTTAGAGTTTTCAGAAACCTGCCTATTGCAAAGATGGTGGTGATGTATAATAGTGAATGTGTAAAATACAATTTGTTTACACAAGAGCAGACACAAATGCACAAGAATATTAATATTCTTGTACAGGTCTTAAGTAATATTTCTGTAATAAATGATGTGAATGGATTTCCTTGTAATGATTTTGCTTTGGTCTGTCACTCACTGTGCATGTCTCTTTACGCACAAGGTTAGAATAATCTCACTGTTTGGTCATATCACAATCAGTCTCACAGTACTCCTAACCCAAATAATCATTTTGCTGTTTACCAGGCTAATATGTTTTTGGCATGTCATATTGTGCACTGTGGGAGCTCACCTTGTTAAGGTTACATCAGAGGTTGACAAGATTAAACTGAAGTCATTTTCTCTTAGAGCTTAGCAGCTAGAGTATCTGTGTTGTCAGCAAATAAGAGTTTATTCCCTTTCCCTAGGGCATTATCTCAAATGTAGTGTCAGAGTGCCAGATGGATTTACCTTACTATTTTTAATCCAATTTTTATTTTTAATTTTCCTCTTACCACCTTTCAGCTGTCACATGCAATATTTTCCTGGGAAGCTGTAGCAAATGTGCACAGAAGAAACCACTATACATTACTGCCTAGATGCCAATCTCCTCCTAACCTCAATGCTAAACATTTCAGGTTACTTGATATTTGTTCTCTGTGGCATGATTTTTAAGAAACAAACAAATTATTTTTGTTCATTCAACATGACACAAAAAAGATTAGGGGAGACTTTAATAAAATCTAATGTTTTTTGTTATTAGTTACGGACTTTAATGCCTTTAGAATAATTGATGGATGAACATACGTTTCAATTTGGTTTTACTTGTATAGTTTACATAATCGGATTATTCCAAAAACATCTCCACAATTGTAAAACATGAACCATAGACTCAGGCCTAAAAAGTCAATTAATCAAACAAACAAAAACCATTTAATTGCAAAAGTAGTAGTGTATTTTATTTCGAGTCTAACAAATTTTAATACCCAACTAGCCTGGCAATTTAACATTTACAATTGTAAATTACTTTTCCTTTCAACAGAACATAGTGAAGGAGGATGTCTACTGATTAATCCATTTGGGAAAGGAATAACCAAATTGATGAAGGAAAGCAAAATATGCCAGCAGTGTGCTTTTGTTCGTGACTCGTATGCTTTTCTTGGTCAAATTGCAGTCTGACCAATTCCTTCACATACTATGTGTACTTGACCGTTTCCATACCATTTATATGTTTCTGTTTCAAGAACTTAGTATGTAAACAGGATAAACCAAATTCTGCTGTTAGTTTTATCAGTGAAGTCAATGGAATTGCACCATAATTAGCAAGAGCAGAAATTCAGGGAAGGAAGGCATTGCACCTTTCTCTTAAAAGTTGTAATATTTAAATATATTGTGGTTGAATTTTGATTTACATGTTTAAGAAAATCTGTTTAAAAAAGCAGAAAAGTTCCATTGTCAATGACCGTGAAATCCAAGGCACGCACAACTTTCCATCATATGATTAGATGCGTTAATATTTAGTACTGTAATGTAAAAAGTACTAATGTGCCCCCGGGTCTCCTGCAGCCTCAGTGATGGAAAGGTGCCGTGTGTGGGCCAGCAAAGGAAAGAGAACTTTCAGTGACTTTAAGGCGTGCTCCTCCCTTGTTTAATCCCTTCTCTGCCTCCTTGTGGGCCTGAGGTGCGGGCTCTTTGGCACATTGGCACAACATAAGCCTGTGGACTTCCACTCCCTAAGGAGGTTTTATAAGCCCTCCCCCTTGTCCAGGGTGGCGTTCTGCACCCTGCGGAATAGCTCCCCCCTCAGGATTAGAGTAAGGGACCAGGTTTTTGGCCTTGCTGTTTGGCATCATGCTAGTCACCTTTTCCAGGCTGGGAAGGAATTTATCCTCACCACTGGATTGGCCTGTGCGGGATGTGTGTTTCCGCTTTCCTCTCAGTAGCCCAGGTAGACAGTGGGTAAGATAGGTTGTAAAATTCATGATGTTGGAACTTGGCAGGTAATTGTTCAACAGGGGTCTGGTTCCCTAATAAACTGGAGTCTGAGGTGGACTTATGGGGAGGCATCCCCTAAAGAAGCTGAGGAAAGATGGATTGAGGCGCCTAACGTCTGGTACAGTGGGGAGAAAAACCCCTTTCCTCAGCTCCCTTAATCCTCATACAAGGGGTGGGTGCTGGGGACCCAGCAGCAGGTTGTGAGTGGGCAGAGCCAATGGCAGCCCTCTCAGATAGGTGGAAAGGATTAAGGAAAGACTGATGACCTGCACTATTTGATTTAATGCTGGGTAGTTCCCAGATGAGATAAAGTTGTGGCCTAATTAAACCGCATTTCTTGCACTCTGTCTTTCTTCCTGCATAGCCAGGACAATAACAGCTGAGAGAGTGACTGTGCTGTATAGGATTCTGCCTCAGGCACGTTGATTGTAAGTTGATGAATGTTTCAGGGGAAATACATGAACTACAAGGTATTAGTTGTTTGCATTAGCTCAATAAAACTAGTTGCACGTAAAATTGACAAATGACACCTTTCAAAGCATTTAAAGCTTTCAGGTACCCATTGTGTATCATTTATCTATTTCTAGGCTCAGTAGCTATATTTTGCCCTAATAAATATAAAGAAGAAATCCTATAAAGTTAATTTCCACAGGATTATGTATCTAGTCTCTACGTGTCCTATTATTATTTATGATCATGTACTTAGTTATAAGAATGACTGGGATTCAACTCCATGGGCTTCGTCATGGGCTTTGATCTTTTACAGTTAGTAAACATTTGAAAAACTTTTTTGTTTTCAAAGGTTGAAAGATTAAAAAGGGGTTATGTACTGCTGCTTGTTGCCTCCAGAGTTTGCTAGAATCCCTGTTTTTGAGCTAGGTCTCTCTGTCTTTCTTTTTTTCTCTCTCATGTACACACCCACACTCTCATGCACCCCCCAATCAATACTTTTATCTAAATTGCTTTTGCTTATCTTGCTATGCTCTTTCCAGAAGAAGCCAAATACCATTTAGGAGTCTTTACACATACAGATGATGATTTCTTTCTCCAGAAAAAAGTCAAATCTAGATTTAAATTACTGTCAAAGTTGAAGTTGGATTGTATGAAACCTTTTGTAATATGTATTTGTGATGTTCAGCATGAAATAGATAACTCCTTTTCTTTAAGAGATGCCAGTGAATCCAAATTATGGTTGAAGTAATATAAAAACCTAGGAGAAAAATGCTATAAAGTTCTGCTATCATCAGTTTTAGCAAATTCCTTTTAACATACTTTGTGAAGTCAGAATGCTTTCAGCTCATCAAGCCATAAGTTCATCACTAATAGCAGTTCTCGAATTAATGGAAAATATTAAGCTAAGAAGAGAGACTTTTGCCAGTACATAATTGTGCAACAAATGGTTTGGATTGAGAAAACTTTATGTTAAAATAGTACTTCTATTGTGTACAGTGGGGTTGGACTGCCCTTACCATTTAGCTTTAAGAGGGATGTGCAGTCACAGATACCAAATTGTTTTCAGAAAGAAGTGCACACGTACTAGTTTCTTAAAATGAGTCTTTTAGCTCCTAAAAATGTGTAGCTTTTTATATCATGTTCTTCTGCTTTAGACAAAAAACATATGCTAATAAATATTACATAGGTGGATGAATGGATTTAAATGTAAGAAAATTGTTCAGAGGGTGTAATAACTGAATGTGAATTTCTGTTGCAGTATGAATACTTCAATGCTGTTCTCATAAATGAACGAGATGAAGAAGGAAACTTTTTAGAACTGGGGAAGGAGTTCATTCTAGTGCCAAATGACCACTTCAATAATTTGCCTGTGAACATCAGCCTGAGTGACGTCCAAGTACCAACCAATATGTACAACAAAGGTTAGCTAATATCTTCTTTCTGTCAGCATTCCACGAGTTAAAGATCTGTGGCAACATGTTGTTAATAAATGACTATATTTTATAAACTAATTCTGTATTTTGTTAAGATTAGTTTCTCTCAATCTTCAGATGAGGTTATCTTCAGAGCTGTAATTCTTACGGCATTATTTCTTTTCTTCTATGACAACATGTATGGTGACCTAAAATAGTCAACACTTTGCATATGTATTTTGCAGCACATATTGTATCAGAGGAAAACTTATTTAGGGCAAATTGTTTTCCATAGTTTCCAGATCAGTTGAACAGGCCTTAAACTGTCATTCATTAGTTAGGCTCTCTATTTGCCATGAGCCTAAATGCACCTTTTAACATGACAGAGTGTAAAACCATCAAGCAGGTAAGAAAACTCTCAGCTGTTTATAACTACAGCTGCTGCTGTCTCTTAGGTGACATGTACAGCAAGTTAATTTTAATAAGTTATCACACTTGATACTGAGTGGTATACTTGACATGTAGTGCATAATGTATATGCCTAACAAATGTCTGATCTAACAAACTCAAAGTGGTTTGAGCCTGAATATAAGGAGTACGAACTAACTCGTAACAGCTCGTTTTCATTTTCCCTTTGGAATTCCTTGTTGTCCAGTCATCAGTATTCAGTCTCTATGTCTGCTTATTGCAATTATAGAGCAACAATCAATTTAATTTTTTGGGCCAATCCAATGATGAAATGTATTAAGTTATAGCATACAAGTTTACAAACTGTGGTCTTTGGAGCCTTTGTCAGTGATCCAGGGAGAGCTGCCTGGTCACGTGATGCTGGCTTCTCATTTAAACTGTGTTAAAAGACAGCTAAAAATGCATTCAATACTTTCCAAATGCTACAATTCCATGTCAGCAATTGCGGTAATTGACGCAGAGATGTTGTGTAATCGCAAATGAAAAGGGAGATAGTCCAAACAATTTGGACTGAGAGGAGAAGTGATTCATGAGGCAACCTTTCTTCTAAGATGTGATTCACACTACAGAGAAGCCTGAGAACTCAGAAATTGTAGAGAAATGTTTAAATTTGGGATCACAAAATAACAAAGCTTTACAGAGAATATTTAAAGGTTTGTGAGATGATTGAAGTGGAATATTTTAAAGAGATTTAGAAAAAGCTTTGAAAACTATCAAATAATTTCTGTTGCACTTTTAAAAAGTGCTAATATTTTTCTAATTGTGCCTATCTCTAAATGAGCTCATTCCAGACTTTCTATATTCATATTGAATCCTCATTAAAAGAAAATCAAAAAGGAAATATTATTGTGATGGTTGCAAAGGGATTTAGAAATGCTAAATTAGTCATATTTGTAGGGAGAAGTTAAGTGGCTGAGCAATTGAGGGGATTTTATTAAAATGTGAGAACCTTCTTCCTATTCAATATTATGCAGTACTTTTCTGTACAGAACTACTTTTCAGACTCTAATGAACTACACATTCAAGTCTAAGTCAACTGGGCTGTCAACTCATGTTTTGGCCACTCATACAGGATCTGCCTATAGAGATATATGAGGGAACTCCATGATGATGATTCCTGTCTCCACTTTGCCTAATTCAAACCAGCCAAAATAATCACTTTGTACAGCTGCAGAAACATTATTTTTATCTTTCAAATTTTTTCCAACTGCTGAAATCTGGATTATTGCTGATATTTTCCTAAAACAGACACACAGACCCAGCTTGGATGTTCACGTTGACATTCCCTCAGCAAAGAGAGGTGATCCATATACTTAGGCTTTTTGGCACACCATACTCGTGTTTATCCATTACAATGGTATGGTGCTCGATAGCTTAATCAAACCATTGGCTTAAGGCATTGGCCCTGGATAGTTATGGATTCCCAGCAAAGCACCTGCATAACAGAGAATGTCCTTTGGTCGGCTGTGTCTTATGTCTCATTTTGTTGGATTCATAGGCGATTGGCAAAACCACACAGTATTGCCAACCAGAATATTTGAAATCATGAGTCAAGCCCCAATAATAATGAGATTGGCTTAAAAATCATAAGACATTTAAAAATAATAAATTTGGGGGACGTTTTAAAATATTTGACCTCTGTTGTTTGTGCCTAAATGGTATTTCTACACTGCAGTAGAGCTCGGGCTAAGGGGCTGTTTAATTGTGGTGTAGACGTTCGGGCTTGTGTGCAGTCTAAGCTCTGGGACCCTCCCACCTTGCAGGGCCCTAGAGCCTGGGCTCCAGCCTGAGCCTGAATGTCTACAGCACAATTAAACAGTCCCTTAGCCCGAGCCCCGGAAGCGTGAGTCAGCTGGCCGGGCCAGCCCGGGCGTCTAACTGCAGTACAGACATACCCTTAGAATTCACATTTTCAAGCTTTTGTCTGCAACCATGAGGGCTAGAAATTTACTTGGGATGGAAAACGATGAGATTTCATGTAATTCCATGAATCCCAGACTTGGGACTTAAAGCAAGACAGCAAATATCAGGAGATTTGTGATAAAACCAGAAGAGTTGCCAGCACTGAATGCCACTGATATTAGTACAGATTGTGAATTCCTTGATACCATCAGAGATATTGGGCAGTGCTCCCATCAGTGTCTGGTTGGGTGGGCACAAGTGGCAGAAGGCCGATAAGCACAGCAGAACTTATCACTTATTCAGATATTACAGACTGCTCATATATAGCAGTCTACATTTATACAGCACTTCACAGACCACAGGTAAGACACATTACATTCGTGAGGAGCTCACAATCTAAAAGCCAATATGCAAAATGGTTAAGGAAAAACACCCAACCAGCTTTAAAAAAAACAGACAACCCAGCCCAGCATGGAAATATATATAAGTAAGTTTATATACAAGCCGTTTGACTGAGTGAAGAGCACCTATCCATACTGTAAAGGTACATTTAAATATGCAACAGGGGAATCACTTACTAAATAATAGGAGTTGTGCACAACTATATTCTCTTTCTGGTATAACTTTCTGATCTTAAATTTTGTATTGGTGTGAGGGTTAGTCTGATTATTAGTGTGCCATTACCAACTGTGGTCTTGGATGGTAGCTGTCTCTCTTTCCCTGTGTCTCCTGTGTACTAGTCTTACCAAACAGAGTACATTAATTAACAAGATATGAATCTTCACCACTGTAATGCAAAGCTATTGATCTTTAGAATGTGAAGCCAGTACAAGTATGGGGCTGTGGTGAACAGACTGATGTTTCTGAATTCCTATAATGAATATAACTGAAGGAGTTCTGAAGCAAAGTGGGATGTTAGTGTGCTTATTTATATGATAAAACACACAACACTCTTCCAGCGCTCAGCTGTTTCACCAAGAGACTCGTGTTCTGTTTCTGAGAGCAAAGTTAAATGTTTGGGCATGGTTGCAGGTGTACTGAGGTTATTTAAAATGCAAAAGTTTGAGGAAATGGTGCTGGGAAGTATCTGATTACAATAATGTTTTGTTTTTCAAGCAGTTTAAAAAGCATAGAAGTTGAACTGTCATTATATAAGAATTGATAGACGTTTTCGTAAGACTCAAGATAAGGTACCATTTTAAACAATGAATAAATTACGTAAAACCAGTGTGAGATCAGAATCATCCCTTGTGTATTTTAGAAACACTAATAGTCAGATACTTAGGTGTGTCAGAGCAGTGCTAAGCCACCTTGGGAAATGGTGCATAGGTGGCTTTTTGACACCTTTCCACCCTCAATCTCTCCTTCCCCCATCCTTGAAGACTTCCCGGAACCAAATGGTCAGTTAGAGCAGCTTCAGGGTTACTTTAACTTGCATGAGCTGATAGTGACCCCCATGGAGCAGCTCTCCTGGCCAGGATTGTTGGAGTGCATTGTGCTCTGGCCCTGTATCCTCCCCAGTACACCTGCTTTGCCAGTTGGTGGGAAGCAGGTAGCTAACTGGGGGATCCTCAGCTGCTACTTAATTACTGCTTCAAGGCCCATTTGTGCTACTGTAGTGGTACAAAACAACTTTACCAGAGGCCAAATATATGGACCAACCTCTGTAACATCTCTCAGAAACCAGTTTCAGCAGCAGGAGTCTGATGTCCAATTGTGGGAGACAGCAGACAGTAGTTTGAGTCCCAAGGTTGTCATTTAAGATATTATGGGCCTGATCATGTTCTCATACCACGTATACACCTGTGTGACTTGTTGAGTTAAATGGAATTGTTCAGCTTTACTGTGGGGCAAATGAGAGTGAACTCATACCTACAGTTGAGCAGACTGATAGTGAACAGAGATAATAAAGTGCTTTTATGGTGAAATAAAATGACAGACCCAAATGGTTTCAGATCACTGCAGCATTCAGAATACAATCTGGCTTTACTAAATCTCTGCTTTAAGTAAATATGTTCAGTATAAACAATGACTTCACTATAAAAATGCACTTTATGGCATTCACTGTAATTTTTAGCCATGGTCCAAACAGGGAAGCAAATCATCACAAAGACATTTTTAAAGCACGAACAGTTTGTTGTATAAAAAATTAAATACACTGTAATGAGGTTGGCTTTTCCATCTGGTCATGTGTCTGCTACCTCAGTTTCCCCAACCCAGTTTCCTGAAGAATGCACAAAGACTTGCATGGTTCCAGGATACCACCGTCTTTGGGTCTAGTTTATTAACAACAGTTCAGTGTCAACTCAGATAGAAATCTTTCCCACAGACTTTACAGTTCCTTCCCAAACCACAGTACTGATGTCTGGACTTTGCTATAGCTTCTCCCAACTGAGGCTTCTATTGTTTCGTGGCGCAAGCGCTGGGAGGGAGAGGGGAGAAATAGGACCCGGCGGCACTCTCAGGGGAGGAGGTGGAGGTGGAGTGGAGGCGGAGGTGAGTTGCGGCGGGGGAGCAGGGCGGGGAGCTGCCGGTGCATGCAGAGCACCCACCAATTTTTCCCCATGGGTGCTCCAGCCCCAGAGCACCCACGGAGGCGGCGCCTATGCCTAAAGTTACAGACTTAGGGTATGTCTACA